TGTGATAAATGCTTAGTCAAAACAAGCAAAGGTTGGGGCTAGGGAAACGGCTCAGCGTATAAAGTGGTTTGTTGAACAAGCATGAGAACCTGAGTTCAGATCCCCACACTCATATAAAAGGCACAGCAGCGGGTGTCTGTCACCCCCAGTGCTGGGACATGGGGACAGGTTGATGCTTGGGACTGCTAGTCAACCAGTCAAACTAAAAAGGTGAGCTCCAGGTTCAGTGAGCGACTCTGTCTCTAAAAGTGAGGTGAGAGTGACAGAGGACGGCACCTGACATGGATCTGGGGTCTCCCCACACGCAGGAGCACACCCACGCATATACCACAAACAAATGAAAAGGACAAAAAGAGGATTAACATTGTGTGTGCAGAAGATGGGTAAATATAAATACGGTCTGCTGCTATCTGCCCTTTTAGGCATCCCTTGGGAATCCTGGAATAGACCCCTGGGGGCAAGAGGGATTTCTGTAATAGAACAAGATGCTGAGCAGGGCTATTTCTGCTCACCCAAGAGGTCCGAGGAGAATCAGACAACGACTAACCAAACGTGTAAGAAAAGTGACTTGGGAGCGGGGTGTGGTCAGGCACACCTACAATCCCAGCTCCTTAGAAAGCTAATGCAGGGAGTTTCAAGTTCAAAGCCTGCTTGAATTATAAAGCAAGTTCAAATACAGCCAAGGCAACTTGATGAGAGACCCTGTCTCAAGTAAAAAATTTAAAGGGAAAAAAGGAGCTGAGGGGATAGCTTTAGTCAGTGAAGTGCCTGTCTTGAAAGCATGAAGACATGAGGTTACTCTCCAGAAGCCAGGTAAGAAGTGCTAAGCATGGTTGTACATAGTTGTTATCCCAACACCGGGGACTTGAAGACAGGCAGATAGCTGGAGTTCCCTGGACAGCCAGACCAGTCCCAGAGACGTCCACACCAGTGAAAGACTCTGTCTCAAAAAGAAAAAAAATAGTGCATGGCATCTGAGGGACGACATCTGAAGCTGTCCCTCTGATGTTCACACACAGGCACCACACACACACACACACAGTGGGAGGAGATCTGAGAATATAGCTCAAGGTTTGAGGCTCTGGTCTCAATTACAAAGCGAAAAGTGGCTCCGGAATTGGAGATAAACTTGACTTTGCTGACCACTTCAAGAACCTCTGAAATCCTGTGACTCTAGATTTTAGACTTATATCATGTGACCAAAGGACTACTGTAGGTTAACTCATGAATGTAATTCCCAAGAGTGGTCCATAGGTGACACTGTAGTGTAAAATGAGCCTACAAGCTGTTATTTCACCCCTTCTAGATGTCAATGAATGTGTCCAGCCATACATAACCGAAAATAAGTCTAATTCTTTTAAATCAGAAATATAAATCCACAGACTCATATATGCCTATATAAATTCTGTATACCTAGAAATCATAGTTCTAAAGACATGAGTCACTTGGTCTTTTAGTTCTTCACGATTCTGTTCCTCTGCCTTCTGCCTTTCTCATAATAAATACCTCAGCTATGGTACTTAGCACCAATGCGTTTGGTCAGTCTTGGACAGCAACATAAGTTGAATGGCAAAACTGTGGCCCAGTCACATCCCAGGCATCCTGCTTCATTGTGAATTATTAATAAACAATAATAAATAAAAACAAAATAAACTGTTATTCCCCCACAAGTTTAGACCAGTGTCCCAAATAAGGTTGAATTTGGCCCCCTTTTCCACAACTAATGGAGACTTAGGCTTCATTCTTTAGAACAATGGTTCTCAACCTTCCTAAGGCTGTGACCCTTTAATACAGTTCCTCATGTCATGGTGACTCCCCAGTCATAAAATTATTTTATTGCTACTTCATAACTGTAATGTTGCTACCGTTATGAATTGCAATGTAAATATCTGATAGGCGGTCCCCTTGTGGGTTGAGAGACACTGCTTTAGAAGCTTGTGACTTGATATCTAGCTCTTCCAGACAAAGCTCACCACTCCTCAGACTGTAAGATTAATTTCTCCATTTCCCCGTCTGCCTGAGATCCACAAGGGGTGCGGAGAATTCAAGCAGCCCACCAAGGAACGCCACCATCAAATCCATAGATTACAAAAATCCTGCCCCTCCATTCAAGACTCAAATCCAAGCAAACATCCTAATATTAGGAACCTATAAAATGTCAACTACTAGGGGGACGATTTGAACAAAACATATTATATATGTGTATGAAAGCCCCAAACAATAAAAATGATCTAAGCCAAATCCACTAATTTCTGGAATAACTTGCCTCTCAGGTTTTTGTTTTTGTTTTGTTTTGTTTTGTTTTTAAACCTACTAGGTGTTTTCTGTTACATGAGGTAGTCCACTGAAAAACACAGAACAATCGTTTTTTGGGTCTTGGGTTCAGTGTAATTGACAAGCCATGTTAGTAAGCTGAAAAGGAAAACGTCCATCCCATCATCACAGTCCAAAACGATAAAAACCACGTCCTCTCCATGACCATATTTGCAATAGTGATGCCATTCTTGCCCATATTGGTCAGTTCCAAGCATGGTCCTCTAATATCTGACCCACACTGATGGTTTTGTTTTGTTTCTTTGGGTCTTTGTTGTTGTTGTTGTTGCTGTTTCTGTTTTGTTGTGTTGTGAGTTTCTTGGTTTTGTTTTGTTTTGTTTGGGCCTTTTGTTTTTATGTCCTCTGTGCTGACTTGATCTGTATTCATATTTCCCACTATGCTAATCCTTTGGATGGATGGATGGATGGATGGATGGATGGATGGATGGATGGATGGATGGATGGTTGGATTTTTCTGAGGCAAGCTCTCCAAATGTAGCCCAGGCTGACCTGGAATCTACAATTCTTCTACAATAGGCCTCATGCCTATCTCCATCTAATTTTATTCATGCATCAACTTTCTAGGCCCAATCTCTTTCCTTCTCTGAAAAGGAAATAGAAAACAGAATATTTAGAGGACTTGCAGAAACATCTTCAAGTTAATTGTCCTCCAATTAAAACATTTCTGGGGCTGGAGAGATGGCTCAGAGGCTGAGAGCACCAGCTGCTCTTCCAGAGGACCTGAGTTCAATTCCCAGCACCCCCATAGTGGCTCACAACCATCTGTAAGGAGATCTGGTGCCCTCTTCTGTGTACATAATAAATAAATAAATCTTTAAAAAAAAAAAAAAATTTCTGCAGCTTCACATGCATTCTCCAGAGTCTGAACGTCATCCACATAAGCCAACAGCCACCTCAACCCAAATCACGAAATGAACACTTACAGAGAAATATCCTGCATGTGTACATACAAATACAGATAAGTTTACATTTCTTTTCATAATCATGACACATAGCCCCTTTAGTTGCTTGCAGAGATGGGGAGGAGCAGCCGTCCTTGCATTCTACTACCCTAGGCAAATTGCCATGCTTACAGAAAAGGAAAGGAAGGTTTAAACATGATGGATTCTAACGTAGCATGCAAGCCCCGTTCAAGCCAAGTGCAAGACGGCTGTGTCCAAAATACAGATGTGCCCAGATGTGGTGGTACATGCTTATGATCCCAACACTTGGAAGACAAAGGTAGGAAGATCAGGAGTTCGAGGTCACCCTTGGTTACCTAGAAAGTTCAAAGCCAGACTGATTGATATGAGAGCTTGATTCAAAAATGGGGGGTTAGGGGGTTTCTTCACACCAAAATGAGGAAGAAGCCTCTCATGGTGATGTAACAGTAACTCAAGGAGAGCTTTAGAGATGACTCAGTGGTTAAGAGCACTAGCTAATCTTCCAGAGGCCCTGAGTTTGATTCCCAGCACACACATGGCAGCTGTCTATAACTTCAGATTCAGGGAACTTAATGCCATCTCCTGGCCTCTGTGAGCACTGCACACACTGTACACAGAAAAAATATATGTAGACAAAACACCCGCACATATATGGGTAGTTGTAGCGCACGCCTTTAATCCCAGCACTTGGGAAGCAGAAGTAGGTGGATCTCTATGAGTTTGAGGCCACCCTGGTCTACAGAGTGAGTGCCAAGCTAGGTAAGGCTATATATTGAGACTCTGTCTCAAAAAAAAAAAAATTAAATAAAAACATGACTCAAGAGAGTATAGAGGGCTTTGTTTCTAAGGTTAAAAACAACGAAAGCAACAGCTTGAGCTTCAAAAACCTGCAGTGAGATTCAGAAGAAACAAGTAAAAACCAAAGCATGCTACAGAAACAGTTTCCCAGAGCAGCTAGGTCTCTAGTCCCCTCCAGAGAGGAAGTCCTAGGTCTCGAAAAAGTCAGCTCAAAGGAGCCTGTGAAATTTGGGGCCATTAATGTGTTCATAGTCTAATGTATCTAGTAAAAAAAAAAATTTAAAGGCCTGAGTATAACTATAACAACTTACATGTCATAGGCCAGGAGTCGGTGACATCATATCACATGGAGTGCATCTTTGCCAGATCTGACTTATCACAACGAGGTACCCTCAGCTGGGACACTGAATTGCTCACAGTTTTGGAGGCTTGAGGACTTGGCAGGTTCACGGAAGAGCTCGCCTCAGTGCGTGCAGACAGCTGCCTTCTTGCTGGGTCTTCACACCGCAGGGAAAGAGCAGGCTTTCTGTCGTGTTTTTATAATCCCACTATGACCTCATCTAAACCTCATTACCTCCCAGAGACCCCATCTCCAAATACCACCACACGGGAGGCAGGGCTCCAATCTATGAGCTGCCACAGCCATGATTCCAGTCCACAGAAAAGTGCAGTTTTATTGTATTTCACATTATTGACCGGCTTTGGTAAACAAAGAATATGGAAACCTTCATATAAATGTATTTTTTGATTGCTTCTGTAAAAAAAAGCCAAACCACTAGGCAAGAAATCCACCCACTGTTTTTATTTTTGTTTCTCTATGAAAGCTAAAGTTCAACTTCTGTTATTTCAATTTATAGAAGCTTTTCCGGTACACACACACACACACACACACACACACACACACCACAAAGGATTTAACATTGATTGTACATGAGGCCAACTCACCATGCGAGTGAGACAGACGGTTTGGTTATGTTGGAGGGTTGGAGTGTGGGTGTCAAGGTAACTTCAAGTTACTCAGGTAGACTTGCAGAGCTAGCAGCATTTCAGCAGTGGTAACAAAGGAACCCGGGGGCCATGCTTTTCTTCCTTCCCAGCCGTGTCCGTTGACAAGCCGCAACGGTGATAACTCGGGTATCCGGCTTGTCCCGCTCATCTGCCATCAACCATCATCTCACTGTATCTTTGCCCCACAGCTACCACAACGTCTAACTTCCACAGCCTTTTGTCTTCCATGTCCTGGCCCCCATCTGACAACTCTGGATCCGCTTCCACTACCATCTACGTACCTTTACACTTCTGAACTGTCAGTATAAACACTTGAGATTTAGCTAGTAATATATAGGCCATCTCAGCAGCCGCTAAACCCAGTGTCTCCTACTTGAGCACAGAATGACCCGGAAGTCTTATGAAAACATAAGCTGCCCCGCCAAAGATTTGACTCAGTACACCTCCAGTCAGGGTTCGATGATATGCATTTCTAACAAATTTCCAAGTGATGTTTGTAAGCAAGGGCACAGTGAAACCAATGAACTAGACCACTCACTCCATGGGTAGAAATAAAGGTTTATTGGGTAGTTCAAACTGCCAGGGCTGTCTCTTGTAGATGGAGCACAGAGAGATATGCAAAAACCTGAGGGGACGCCTTTAATCCCAGCACTCGGGAGGCAGAGCCAGGCGGATCTCTGTGAGTTCGAGGCCAGCCTGGGCTACCAAGTGAGCTCCAGGAAAGGCGC